CATTTTGTTTTCGACTAATGAGTTTGAATATCGCCTCTCATTATAAAGTGTTGATAAACTGATATAAAAAATATTGTTTCATATTCCTAATTGCTCAGCAACTATACGGAAGTTATAAACAAAGTATATTCCGTGATAATATGGACCTTGATTGGTCAATGAAATTATTTGTATTACGTGTGGGGCATTATATTTGGTGTAATCTATATAACAACGCATTGAATTGAGATGTGACATGATTGCGTAACCATGTTTTAAAAATAAAGGCAGACCAATTACCGCTACTTATATTTCATTCGGTTGATTACTTGTTAAAATCAAATTTTTGTTTTTATTTTAACTGCACAAAATAAAACCAAAGTTAACAATAAGTAATCGGTAATAATATAGGACGTCGTGACCGAACTTATGGAACACTTTATTTACTATAATGCATAGATAAGTATGTTTTGTGTCAATGTGTTATAATGATGTAACATTTTGTATGTATAATTGGGAAGAGGTCCTAATGCTAAACGCTTTCTATTTTTCTTAAACTCAAAGCGTGTGGTTACGATTTCTGATACACGACAGTCCTATTAATGTTTTGTTTAGTCTAGTGATCTAGATTTAAAGAGGGAGGTATGACACAACATGCTTAGTTTAGTTCCATCTCATATTCATATTCCTGCCCCCCTAGACAGGTTGCCGTCTTTTGTCGTAATGTTTTAGTTATTAAGAGAATGATTAATTTATTCACATCCGACTGTGGAATAATTCATTTTCTTGGGTACCAATTTTATTGTTGATTGATAGAAACATATATTTCGTGGATATTTGATTTCATGGTTTTGCAAAAGTCTGTTTTCTGCTCTTTGGTAGGGTTGTTGTCTTTTTGACACATTCACCATTTCCATTCTCAATTTTATTTTATACAAGCCTATAGAAAATTTGTTCTGTGTTAAACGCTTTAAACAAATGTTTGATTCTGTGCTGCTTTAAGGTAAGACAATGACTGAAAACGCGAGCATTCAACAGTTATTTGGTTTTCATTGTAACAATCTTACAAAATATATTTTTACCAAGTCGGCCCACGCTGTCAATGTGGTCGCCATCTTGAAAAATAATACCCGAATTTCTGAAAATAGCTAATTTTCAAATCAATTTGGAAGGGACGTAATAAAAAATTAAACTATTGCATGTACGATATTTCAAATATTTATGAATATAGTAATAAGCACATATTTCCACAATTTTTCCATCTGTTTTGTTTAAATCGCAATTTTAGGTTTAACACGACAGAAAATCCAATATTTATCGGAGTTAGATGATTTAACAGTGTGAATTATCGAGGCAACAAGACAAATTTTCAAAAGCATTTGGAAGGGAGAAGACCAAAATTTAAACTTTTCCAAAAGGCATAAATATATTTCTAAATATATGAGGAATTACTATAAATTTCCACACTTATTTTATCATGAACTTAAAGTAATTTATTTTATCGATTCCTGAAAGCCCCTGTGCATTTCTATACATTTTACTTGGGCATGATACGGGTGATGTGTGACGTCGCCAATGTCACGTGATGACTGCTATAGTTGGATATGGATGTGTGACGTCGCCAATGTCACGTGATGACTGCTATAGTTGGATATGAAAATTGGTATCCCACACATAACAATGAATCTACAATTAGTATAGACACGGCATGGTTCTTAGGTTGGCATATAATCTACAATTAGTATAGACACGGCATGGTTCTTAGGTTGGCATATAATCTACAATTAGTATAGACACGGCATGGTTTTTAGGTTGGCATATAATCTACAATTAGTATAGACACGGCATGGTTTTTAGGTTGGCATATAATCTACAATTAGTATAGACACGGCATGGTTTTTAGGTTGGCATATAATCTACAATTAGTATAGACACGGCATGGTTTTTAGGTTGGCATATAATCTACAATTAGTATAGACACGGCATGGTTTGTAGGTTGGCATATAATCTACAATTAGTATAGACACGGCATGGTCTTTAGGTTGGCATATAATCTACAATTAGTATAGACACGGCATGGTTTGTAGGTTGGCATATAATCTACAATTAGTATAGACACGGCATGGTTTGTAGGTTGGCATATAATCTACAATTAGTATAGACACGGCATGGGTTTTAGGTTGGCATATAATCTACAATTAGTATAGACACGGCATGGGTTTTAGGTTGGCATATAATCTACAATTAGTATAGACACGGCATGGGTTTTAGGTTGGCATATTATCTACAATTAGTATAGACACGGCATGGGTTTTAGGTTGGCATATTATGCATACGCATGTCTATTGTTTAACACTGCAAGTTGCCCTCTAGTTGTTATTTGATTTTTGTATCGTTTCGTTTCTGTCTTATTGACGTGAACCCCATATTTCGTTTAAGTCATACAAAACCCAGTCATGTATTTGAGAAAACGAAAGCAAAGAAATGACACTTGTATTACTATTCTTCGTCTCAGAGTGTCAGATTAATGATCATACCACACCTCATATTCAAGACGGCCCTTTGAACACAGATTCGGGCTCATATCAAATACTGCAATGCAATGCGCAAATATATATGAATCGTTTATACAAGAGTTGTCTTTTATTGAAACAGATTATTTCTGTGGAAAGTGCAATTGAAAAAAATGATGTGTTTGTTTTGTTCAATTAGATACTCAAAATATTCTACAAATTTCTAAGGTTTGACACTTAAACGTGAAATCATGCATTTAAAATCTGTCATACGTTGTCTGCGCTTGCGCGTACGTTTTCATAGCATCAATTGTGAAAATGGATGACGTTATCCAATCAAATTGAACGTTACAAACGATGTTGCATTAGAATATCCTGTCAACGCTCCCAATATCGTTCCTTTAGATGACTTTACGATTTTCCTTCAGTTTTTGTTTGTTACCTGAATTTGTATCTTAATAGATTTATGAGATTTAAGATCGGTAAAAAGTGAAATAACAAAAATACCGAACTCCAAGGAAAATTCAAAACGGAAAGTCTCTTATCAAAACGCAAAATCAAAAGCTCAAACACATCAAACGAACGGTTAACAACTGTTATATTCCTGACTTGGTACAGGCATTTCCTTATGTAGAAAATGGTGGATTAAACCTGGTTTAATAGCTAGCTAAACCTCTCACTTGAATGACACTCACATATCCCATTATAATGTACTGTTGTCTTAATCTATATACAAATATATGTAAAAACGAAATGTTGGATATACGTTTATGAGAAAACAACAAATCGACCAACATGACCAAAAGACGTATTATTATAAGTTAAACATACAGTCTTTAAAGATAGTAAGATGTGTATAAATGCCAAGCTCTTACTCGTGAAGAGGCCATAAACATTGTGAATTAATTACAACAGAAACAATCAAAGATCACCAAATGAGAATGTCATACGACAACTACTGATGAGATCCATGACTTATGACGTCTTCCACATGTAGAGGAGGATTTGCTTACCCTTCCAGAGCACACGAGATCACCAAATTAGAATGTCATACGACAACTACTGATGAGATCCATGACTTATGACGTCTACCACATGAAGATGAGGATCTGCTTACCCTTCCAGAGCACACGAGATCACCAAAATGAGAATGTCATACGGCAACTACTGATGAGACTAAGACGTATGTCGCGTGCCACATGTTGAGCAGAACCTTCCTACCCTTCCAGAGCACCTAGGATCACCAAATGAGAATGTCATACGACAACTAAAGATGAGATCAATGACTTATGACATTCGCCACGTGTGGAGCAGGATCTGCTTACCCATCCAGAACACCTGATATTACCAAATAAGAATTTTGTACAACAATTACTGATGAGATACTTAACTTATGACATGTGCCACATGTGGGAAGGATCTGCCTACCCTTCTAGAGAACCTGAGATCAATCCCAGTTTTTGGCTGCTCAGTTTCCTTTTTTCTATGGTGTGTTTTGTGTACTTTTGTGTCTTCTCGTCGTTTTCGTTTTTTCCATGACATTAAAATTGAAAATGGAAATGGGGAATGTGTCAAAGAGACAACAACCCGACCATAGAGCAGACAACAGCCGAAGGCTACCAATGGGTCTTCAATGCAGCGAGAAACTCCCGCACCCGGAGGCGTCCTTCAGCTGGCCCCTAAACAAATATGTATACTAGTTCAGTGATAATGGACGTCATACTAAACTCCAAATTATACACAAGAAACTAAAATTAAAAAAGGATACAAGACTAACAAAGGCAACATTGTCTGTTTGTTTTCGACTTATGCGTTTGAATATTCCTTTGGTATCCTTCGCCTCTCTTTTATGACAGGCACATACACATGACAGGCACATACACATGTGCCTGTGTTGAGTAAAGTTTTTTTTAAGATCTGAAATCCTCCCCCCTTTTTGTATTATATCAATCAGCAAATGAACCAAATGTAGATATGCCATACAAATAAAACCAGAACTGACTGTATCAAAATACATACGGAAATGACTCTTGCAAGATTTTTGACCTGGCCTTTAAAACAGTCCAATCCAAATTTTTTTGTGCAAAAACATACTAATAGGCTATCAATTTTAGATTATTGCTTTTTAAATTTGACATTTTATTTGAAGGATCATGATGCGTATATTGTGATAATATTCCTAATTGTTATATTACATAATACACATATTTTTAAATTCTTTAAGCAACCTATTTTTCCGCTACTAAATTACACAGTTTAAATGGTTCAGTTCGGAGGGTGTGAATAGCCTTCATAGTAAAAAATAAAACGTCCACTTTTCGTAAGCAAATGCGCCTAAAATATTATTGTCATTCATAACGTCGTATTGTTCAGCTACTGTTAACGTCAAATCAAGAAAAAAAATATCATCATTAACGTTATTTTAACAAAATCGTTACCGTTACTCGTCCTATTAGGTACCCCGTTCCCACCCTCATGTTTGATTTAATCTCTTTGAGTGTTCCAACAACATGGTTTTAGGTTACTTAATTGACTCGAAAATGTAAGAGAAAGATTTTTGACATTACATACATTAGCCCTGAACAAGTTAAAACTAACGAATTTAAAATTTCAAATGAAACAGAAAAATTGGAAATTAAATTGGCCGTGCAGAATTTTAGATGTCGAGTATATTAGATACAATGGAGTTTTTGGAATATAAAAAGCGGAGAAATGACGAGTGCATTTCATTATTCCAATATCCCATGTATAACTCGTGTGTACTACAGAATGAATCCTCGTGTATTCGTCGTTATATTAACATTTATTTGCGTTCACAAAAACAAAGGTAAGTTAATATATGTCAACTTAATTTATAAAACAAGAAAAAGGGAGCATTGAAAAAAAGATAAGCCCTGTTTTTTTAGATTTAGATTTTGTTAAGAAATTTTGTTTATTTTTTTTTTTTATTAAATTCAATCCTGCACTTAAATTTTTTTATCTTCATACATTTTGAATAATACAAAACAAAATGATCATTGTACAATATATCATGGTAATAATGTCTGTCCTTATGAAACCTGTAATATCTGCCATGTTTGTTTCTCATATATTGTTTTAGAATAAGTTCAGACCTTTGATTTCCTCCCATTTTATCATGTCAGGGCATTTTATAGCTTTCTATGTAGTATGTGTTTTGATCATTGTTGAAGGCTATACTTCATTTTATTCTTTGGTCTCATACCACTACTGGAAGTGTTTAACGACCTTGACTGGCTGTTCAGCCCTCGCACGGTCGGTCTCATACCACATACATGCATTCATATTTTTATACCATTTCAATTCCAATAAATGTAGACATAATTGGTATTTAAAGATTACTTGTTGTAAGTGCAGATCGTCTTAATTCAGTGTTCATTTAAATATCTTCGAGGAATTTTTTGTTTGTGAACTATACTGTTAACATGTGTCTAGGAGAGAAAACAATGTGTGTTGTAACAAAAATAAAGGGATTGCGAAAGATTTGATTATGGTTTAGGAAGCAAAGCATTTTTTGGCAAAAGGACTTTATATGAAATATGAAATAAAAATCAGTTTACGCTAAACATGATATTTTTACAAAGTAATAAATACGAAGCGCTTTTCTGGATTTACCTTCATCAGGAACGCTCAAAGCCGAATATTTGAAAGCCAAGGATGTATAAGGACCGAAAACGTTGAAGAGCAATAAACCAAAAAGTACCTAAAAAAAATAGACAAATCCATCTAAGGCCAACTATGCCTGAGGGAGTTCTTAGAAGTTGTTAAGAAATTTAGGTCCAAACTCCCCCAGACAATGTTGACCGTAGATGGATTCAGACAATGCTGACCGTAGATGGATTCAGACAATGTTGACCGTAGATGGATTCAGACAGTGTTGACCGTAGATGGATTCAGACAATGTTGACCGTAGATGGATTCAGACAATGTTGACCGTAGATGGATTCAGACAATGTTGACCGTAGATGGATTCAGACAGTGTTGACCGAAGATTGATTTGGCTAATCTTTTAAAGTAGCTTTTTGTCATTTAGCTCTTCACGTATTCATGTATTTCTACATACTAGTACTAGTACTTGTTTTTCGGATTTTTGTTTTTCTGATGAGGGTAAATTCAGAAAAACGTTTGGACGCTCAAAAGTAAGAAAGTGTTATTTTTGTAATTTTTCTTTTCATTTTCAAAACGTTTTATTTATCGATAATGCCAATGAATACCCCCTATTTATCGATAATGCCCATGAATCCCCCCTATTTATCGATAATGCCCATGAATCCCCCAATTTATCGATAATGCCCATGAATCCCCCCTATTTATCGATAATGCCCATGAATCCCCCCTATTTATCCGAACTAGCGACATGTTTTCGCAGTCTCGGATCTTTCAGATACCAGAATAGACGCCTTATCTGTAATTTTACCGGTTGTGTCTTATTCTCGATTGTCAATTTTTGACTTAGTAAGGATTCGCATGACAACGGATCAGTATTCCAAACGTAACTTTCCTCTCCAAACCGCTAGACATCCCCTGCCCGAAAAGCATAAAACATCAAAAACTCCAACAAAATAAAAGGAAAATAACATCAATTTTTATTTATTTCACAAATTGTGTAAGTTTATTGCATTTTTGTCCATAAGTGTCTGTTGTATTTTTTTTTTTACATTTCAAGATAAAAGAAACGTGATGAAAGATACAAAGCTTATAATTTAGTACGTCAAATACTCGTAAAACTCACCAGTGGCGCTCGAATCATATCAGGTAGAAAGCCAAAAAACGAATTTGAGCTTTTAAGACTAGCAATTCAAAACGTTATCCCAAATCTGTCTAAGGCTATCTATGCCATGGGGATAGGGAGGTTATCCCAAATCTGTCTAAGGCTATCTATGCCATGGGGATAGGGAGGTTATCCCAAATCTGTCTAAGGCTATCTATGCCATGGGGATAGGGAGGTTATCCCAAATCTGTCTAAGGCTATCTATGCCATGGGGATAGGGAGGTTTGAATGTTAGGATAAGGGAAAAGTTATTATTACAGATATCCAACACTGCCTAAAATCTCCAAACTCGCTTCAAGTTTAAGACTGCACTGACCCAATCAATCATTTAGACGGAAGGTAAGTGGATGTATGACGTAGTAAGCGCTTTTCTAGATGCCATTTGGAACTAACTGTTAGGAATAGAAATGAAAAGTAGACGGGTGCCACATGTGGAACAGGATCTGCTTATCCTTCCGGATCACCCCATCTTTTGGTGGAGTTCGTGTTGCTCAGTCTCTGGTTTTCTATGTTGTTTTGTGTACTGTTGTTTTTCTGTTTGATTTTTTCCTTTTTGGCCATGGTGTTGTCAGTTTGTTTTCCAGTTTGGATGTCCCTTTGGTATCCTTTGCTTTTCTTTAAATAAAGATGAAACAAGGAAATGCTTTACTGAACTTCAAGGTTTTATTTTACCGAAATACTTAGTTTTTATTGGGCAGCATGGGTATGCTGTTCAACGACAAGGAACAAACACAAAACAGGTAAAGCTGTGATTGGTAAAATTAAATACTAATACTGTTTTATTTTGATATGATCAAATTTTATTCGCATCGTATCAAAGATACCCGGTAGTTCTGCGTTCTTATTAATAAAGTGGTTTGCATTTCATGTAAACAAAGGGGGAGGGTTGAGATCTCACAAAACATGTTTAACCCCGCCGCATTTTTTGCGCCAGTCCCAAGTCAGGAACCTCTGGCCTTTGTTAGTCTTGTATGTTTTTTAATTTTCGTTCATTTATATGTTTTAGAGCTTAGTATGGCGTCCATTTTCACTGGGCTGGTACACATTTTTGTTTGGGGGCCAGCTGAGCCCGCGGAATTTTCTCGCTGTGTTGAAGACCCATTGGTGGCCTTGGACTGTTTTCTGCTCTTTGGTCGGGTTGTTGTCTCTTTGACACATTCCCCGTTTCCATTCTCAATTTTAAACATATTTTGAATGGTGATTTGCAAACAATAAGAATACGAAGGTATAGCAATTCGTGAGATGTAATTTTGTATATCAAATAAAATATCTTCACATCAAAAGAATGAAGAAAAGAGATTTATTGTGTTATGGGTATTGATATAGACATTGCGTAGGGTCAATAATGTATGTCAGTTAGTTGTTCCGCGTTCGTGATGTTAATCATGTTAATCTGGGGTAAACACTTTGTCTATATGCCATAGTATTGTATTGTATTGTATGTACGAAGATCCCTCCGTGAACGGAGCACCCCTCGATTGCTGCGAGGGTACAGTGGAATCCATGTACACTCCCTATCAGGATTAATGGAGATGTGTCACTAACTTATAAACAACCCACCACCAGGACAATCCCCAACCCAACACAGAGGGAGTGTTAGGAGACACAGGGAAGTGTGTTATTATGGTGGAGGAAGCCGAAGTACTCGGAGAGAACCACCGGGCTTCTCGGCGGGAACAGACAAACCGAAGAGATTTCTATAGATAGATCTCCAGGTCAAATTCGGGGGCCACTTTGACCAACCGAGGCCCCCAAAGTACCCATTCTAGTTTAATCTCCGGTCTAGGTACCAGAGATGTGTGTGGGAGGGTGACAATCACCCTACTAATGTACTGAAATTTCCAGCGCCCCGAGTCAGGATCGAACCCGGGACCTTCAGCACTGTAGCCATCGGTCTTAACGACTAGGCCACGAACCCACCATTTTGTTTTTCTTTGTTGACATATTTGTTTGTTTTTACAGTGATTAAGATTATAACACAATGTTGACTGCTTTATACGTATTTTTGAATATTTAACTTTTATGTCTGTTTTTTTTTCACACATTGTTGTCAATATAATGGAATTTTATGCAACTATCATACAAGTGAGAGGTTTAGCTAGTTATAAAACCAGGTTTAATCCACCATTTTCTACATAAGAAAATGCCTGTACCAAGTCAGGAATATGACAGTTGTTTTCCATTCGTTTGATGTGTTTGAGCATTTGATTTTGCCATTTTATAAAGGACTTTCCGATTTGAATTTGCCTTGGAGTTCGGTATTTTTGTTATTTTCCTTTTTTTTAAGACATTTTTATACAACTGTAGTTGGATATCTAGGACTTAAACGTTTGCAATGTTTCCCAAATTACGATGATAGCCTTACAAAAGTACCACAACTAATACCTTTTGATACAAAATATCTGTAATCAGAGAATAAGAAAACTTATATTCATAAAGTCTTATGCAAAACAAAATCAAGATGTCAAACCTGATATTTTTTTGTTCATATGAGTTAACGCTAAAAGCCCGGGTGCGGGATTTTTCTCGATGCGTTGAAGACCCATTGGTAACCTTGTGCTGTTTTCTGCTCTTTGGTCAGGTTGTTGTCTCTTTGACACATTCCCCGTTTCCATACTCTATATTATGAGGATAGGAATTACCGTTACAATCATCTGTCAAGTGCCTCATGTTTGCTACCGATAGCGTTAATTTTTTTTATCGCCATTCGTCACATCGTATTATTGAGCTTTTTTATAGTTTATAGTAGACTCTATTTTCGCAAAATTTTACCGTTTGTCGTTAAGTGCGGTACCCCATTCCCATTATCTTATTTGCGAAAGAGAAATATATCTATAGAAGAGTGTTATACATTGATAAGCTAGTCTGCTCTCAAATCTAAAAAAGAGAGGCGAAAGAAACCAAAGAGACATTCAAATTTATTAGACAAAAAAAACCGACAAAGTCATGTCAAAAACGAAATACGATCAATAGACAAACAACAGTAAACAAAACACAACATAGAAAACCACAGACTGAACACAAGAAACCCCACCAAACTATTGATGCTCTATGAACTAATATAAACTATTGTTTGCGGGGATATTGTTAATAACTCAATGATGATGCATATTTGGAATTGCACAGAACTTTAAAATACGCCATTTGTACCCGGTAGTCGTGTATAGTATGACACTATGACTAAGTATTAGTCGTGTATAGTATGACACTATGACTAAGTATAACAGGGGATACACAGTCATATTACTCTGATACATAGTTTTCAATGTAGGAGGTGGAAAACCAATTGTTTTATATATAATTGGAAATTTTCGATTTTCATTTGATAAACGGAAAGTCTCAATTCCTAAAAAAAATCATTATGGAGCTCTTTGTACGTTTTAGACTACTTTTAATGTTCTTTTTAACTTTCGAGTTCGTTAATTCTGACATAAAAAAGTAAAAGCGCAAAAATACCGAACTCCAAGGAAAATTCAAAACGGAAAGTCATTTATCAAATGGCAAAATCAAAAGATCGAACACATCAAACGAATGGAAAACAACTGTCATATTCCTGGCTTGGTACGGACATTTTCTTATGACGAAAATGATGGATCAAACCTGGTTTTGTAGCTTGTTCAATCCCTCTCTTGTATGACAGTCGCATAGAATTGCATTATATTGACAACAATGTGTGAGCAAAACAAACAGACATAATAGATAAATAATTTAGAGTTTACATTACAAAAGGTTTTTTTATTCCATTTCAACTTTCTTCTTCGGAAAATGCCTGTTCCAAGTCAGGAATATGACAGTTGTTTTTCAATCGTTTCGTTGAGTGCTAACGTTTGATTTTGCCAGTTTTTATCGACTTCCCCTTTTTGAAATTACCTTGGAGTTTCGTATTCTTGTTATACTTTTTTTTCTATTTTTGGAAAATGTACTGACCAAACTTTCTTTGAATTGTCTGAAATTGTCGAATTGAGACAATCTGTATCTGGTATGGAGTGTAGTTATTTAATCATTTATTTTTAATGTAATATATCTTAAAAATTACTGTATAATTAATACTATATATATATATATATATATGTATATGCTCGGAAACGGACCCTTTAATTGGATTCAATAAATATTCTTATTCTTATTCTTAGTTTGTATAAAAGTGATACCCGGTAGAAATAGACGTACTATAAATTATCGATAAATATAGCGTTATCTATAATAAATTAAATGCGATGTTTTTTTAGTGACCGTATCAGACACTATTTGGAAAGGTTTTTACCCCACACCAGTTAAAAGCGGTGCTCTTCTAAACAGAATTTCGAAGAAAATGACGTAATTTTCGTGCAACAATCATTTCTTTCTCAAAGTATCAATTCACTACCCAGAATTCTACATTTACGTAGTTTGATAATATCATTTATATATAATTATTACGCAATAGGTGGTCCAATAAGTACTATATCTTGAGGTCAGAAATTACAATGACTACATTGGTATTATGTGTTTTCTGTATTTATTGAACAATTCTATATATTCTATATATTGTATATTTGATTTGATGTTATAGATGACGTATCTACACCTATATGTGAGAATCGTGATGACTTTATATTTATTAGACTAGAAAATCATTGGCCAAAAAATTATAGTAAGAAAATAATAGGATGAAAATATAAAGAATAGAAAATAACTGGAAAAAAAAAATACATAAAAAGACCCCCTTATAGACCTTGATATATTTAAGGATGAGAAATACACATTTAGATCTTTAGAATCTTAACGTTTTAAATAGCACTTTGTTTTGTTCAAACACAAAAATTTTAAAAGTTGAAGGAATTTGAATAAACAAGAATGTAAATGATTTTGTTTGAATATTTGTTTCGAAATTATTGTGAATATACGAATCAGTGGAAATGTAACTATATGCTATGCATAACAATTGATAACTACTATGATGCTAAATTATAGTTTACATTTTTTAAATAGATAGGCTTGCAGAACACAATTGTTCAAAAATTAATTATATTCAAATGAATTAAAATCTGGTACTTTTTTGTTATCAATACCCGTTAAATGATATAAAACAACAAAAAGAACACAAATAAACATATGGTACTGTGAATTCTAGGAACGTGTGGGATATTAGTTGAAAAAATGTCTTGCCGTATAATAAATTCAGGATTAATTAACCCTACCTGTCTAATTTAAGTGAGGTGCAGATTTGATAACGGAAATCAGACTGTGTTTTAATTGTTACATATTAACCAGATCGGGTATTTATGTTACATACTGTAGAATAAATATATGAATACCTTTAATTTTCAACTCATTGACTCTTTGTATCTATTGTTACTAAACTGCTATTTTAAAATGTCACTATACATAAATAATTATTTAATGTCCTTGAACATTCGATCAGTAAATAGTGTCTCATTGCTGAAAAATGACTTTAAACAAAAGTAAAGATATAGCATTACATAATTGTAAACACAACATAAATACTATAAAGCCAATAGAGATTTTTTTTATGATTTAAGAATCCTTTTTTATATTGAAAAAGTACACTATGAAATACGTATCATTAAATTTCATTTTACCCTTTAGGATGTTAACTACAGCTTTCCTTCTGGTATATATTTCAGCCCCATTCCCACTGTCCTAATATATAATGATTCTATAGGTTTCAACCCACCATCTAAGTGCTGCACGATACATAAAATTTCTTTATATTTATGCCTAGTGACTTAGTATTGCACAATACAGAAGTTTTTCTATATCGGTTAGCCCAGTGTCGAAGCGTTGGACGACTTTATATTATAGACCTATAATGCAAAATGCAGAACTTACTGTTTTATACACTTGAGACAAGTGCCCGAGTTTTTTTCGACTCAAGAGTTTTCTTTATTTTTCCAGTCCAATGCCGAATTGTGTAGAACTTGCCTATATGTTTTATTTTAGTGTCTAAAGTTTTATCCGATGCACAATTAACTAACAGTTTTCTAGAAGGTCTGTAACGTTTCCTCAGACAGTAATTGGTTGAAAGTTTGCTTGTTTATAGGGTTAATGGTGGGTAAACTTCTGAGGGACAAAAGTCTACCAATACAAAATTGCAAAACTTAAGATATTGTATATATACATGTAGGTCATTGATGACCTATAATGATAAGTAAAGTGACTTATATCATTAAGATGTAAATGGCTTGAGGGAAGGATGCAGTACCGAACAATGTTCTCAATAAACAAGTTTTGTGATATTTGAGCACTGTCCCTATGTTTTTTTATGTTCTGCAAAAAAAGTAACGAGCCATGATGGCCAAACGTTCAAATAGATTTGAGGAGAAACCAAAGGGCCCAATTTGAGTTCTGTGACGTTACATAAACAAGTAAACCTTATAAAAAGAACACAACTTTGAATAAACAGAGGAAAAAATATTTGAGGTTCATGACGTCACGCGACACAGATTTGAGAAAAGGACACGGATTTAAGGCTGTATATAGATTTAACTCTTGCATATATGTCAGCCCAGTGCCCCAGTGTTGCACGGTATACAAGTTTAAAAAAAATATATTTCAGACTAGTTTATGACTGTGTTTTACACGTCAAGCAAACATATATTATTTATTTCAGCTAACTGTCCACGTGTAACATGATGCTAATCTATTATGTATATTTTAGCAGTGTGCCCAAGACTTACGATGCTGAAATTTCCTATATATACCAGCCTAAATGCTTTGACACGGTACATATTTTTGTTTACACATTTTAACCTTTTGCTCATGTATTGCACGTACGACTCAGAAGTGTATTTATATATTTTAGCCCAGTGCCCGAGCGTTGCACGGTACAGAACTTTTAACGGATATTGCAACAACTTAGTACACCCGACCTGGGGTCAGGCAGGAACTATACAGAGAAGGTTTCAAGACATAAATGGCAATCCAATGGTAGATTATGAAGACGGTAAATAGTTTTTAATAGTTATTGAAGTGATAAATAATGTGTGAAAGGTTAGCAGTAATATATCTTTCAGAAATAAAGTAGGACATACCAAATTTGACTTAATGTGTCATCTCCAGGAATTGGAATTATCTAGTTTCATCTTTGTTGGTGATTAGAATTCGAAGCCTCGGGTACAATCTCTGACGTTAGGATATGGCTCTATACCGCGTCTAACAAGAATTGATTAGAGCTAGAGATAATTAGCAAACTTTAGTTTAGGCATATAGAACATTTCTTAAAGTTGGTATTTTGGGTTAGTTTGTCTTGATTTTTTTTGGTGCAGGTTAGAGTTGTCATTTAAAGTATTTAGTGGAATTTCTATGTACATGTTCCCTTTTGAAGAATTTTTGTACAAAAGCAGATGTGGGTACAACATATCCAACGACACAAATTTACAACTTCAATATTTTTCATTTAGGTTTTGACCTACCACGAGGTGGAATACAAAGCTGACTACCCAGTACTAGACTGTGTTGACATACCACGAGGTGGAATACAAATAAGACTACCCAGTTCTAGTTAGGCAGTAATATCATCTGATTTAATTAGGCTTCTGGTGGATGTGGGGATCAAGTCATTTGTTGATTTATATTTTAAGTGTTGACCTACCACGAGATAGAAGACGAAACGGACTTCCCAGTCCTAGACTGGTCATTTATAACCTCAGTTAAGGGTCTGATTGACCTGATGATCAAGTCAGTTTTATGTTTTATATCATCTGATTCAATTAAGCTTTTGGTGGATGCGAGGATCAAGTCATTTGTGTGATTTATATTTAAGGTGTTGACCTACCACGAGGTGGAATACCAAACGGACTACCCAGTCATAGACTGGTCATTAATAACCCCAGTTAAGTCTGATGGACCTGATGATGAAGTCATATGTGTGTTTTATATTTTAGGTGTTGATCTACCACGAGGTGGAATGCCAAGTAGACTACCCAGTCCCAGACTGGTCAGTAATACCATCAGTAAGGAATCGGATGGACCTGCCAACCAATCCGATAGTACAAGATCTGGACAGACAATGGCGTTTGGTCAGCTGATGGCTCACGATTTTATCAAAACTAAAGTTATTTCTGGTTAGTTCTTAATTATTTGTTTACCCTTTTTTGATAAGTATGTCCTTATATATATCTTATAAAATAGTTTGAGGCAAATGTAATCCAATCAAAAGCTAATTTTATGCTAGTACTATGCTTTAAAAGAGTTGATATTTTTGAAAATGAATGAGACATTACACATGGAATGACAAAAATAAGAAACATATTAAATGAAATATTTTCTCCTCGGAATAATCACGTAATCTGATTCGATGTTCAAAAATTACCAAAAAAAAAATCATTCTAAATAAATGCAGTACGTTTTTAACGATTTTAAATTACCAACTTCATACACACTATCTATCTAAACTGTTTGCGAAACCGAAGATAAAGTTTCCGTCGATCTAAAAAGTCATTTTAGAAATTGCATTGAAATAGGAACAACCGTTAAGTATTTTAAGACTTTCTGACATTAATCTTAGATTTGAGCCTTCCAACTGTTTTGATGCAGGCGCCACTGACGAGTCTTATGGTATGCGAACGAAACGCGCGCCAGGCGTACCAGATTACAAGCCAGATAACTTTAATGAGTTCTAGATTTTACAAACGCAAATATCAGCTTTCCAAAAACTCAGTTAGCGACAGCCTACACGTATAAAAACCAATTCAATTATATCTTACAATATCTCTATTGCCTTAATTAACACAAATAGATATATGATTTCTCTTTCTTACCCTTTATGAATTTGTTTTTAGAAAATGTACAGCCAAACAAGTTATACTTGGATTTAATCATGATAAAGGACTCTTTCGCTTCCAAATACTTCTATCAGAGATACAAAACTTTCAAGAAGAATGAGCCCTTTAATACACCTTCTCGAAGCTATTAAGATGACCAACTGCAATATAATTTTGTCTATTGCTTTCATTGTTATTTTCCAAGTATTATATTCTCTTTTCCACAAGTAGTCGTTTGTCCGGTTCTTATTTTCTCACCTCGAGTGCGGCAAGTTAAGGAATAGATCCGGGTGGAGTCATAAGCAGGTTTAAATAAAGGTATTTGATGCTTTCTGCAAGCCACTTGAAGCAAGTGTCATTTAGTAGTAAGAGTAAAGACTGGTCGGCTCCAAGTCAGAATATTGTACAGTAATTAAGGTGACATGTCTGCAGACTGTTACCTTGTGAGCTTACACGTTAAAAATCCCTTTGTCAGCCCAGTACAAATAATGGTATATTTCAATCGCATAAAAATGATATCGTTATGAATGTTCTTGCTATATATGGTGTTGAACTTTAAACAGCTATTAATCAATCAATCGATTTGCAGGTTTTGATTGTTGTGATGCAAGTAATTCAAACTACAACGAGTAAGTAATCCTTTTAAGCTTCAAAAAGATTCTGCTTAGTTTTGATATATTATTTCAGGCTTTTCATTAATTATTTTGTTATAAATTAGGCAGTTAGTTTTCTCAATTGAATTGTTTCATATTTTTCATGTCGGGGCCTTTTATAGCCGACTATACGGTATGGGTTTTCTCATTGTTGAAGGCCGTACAGTTGCCTATACTTGCTTACATCCACTTTATTTGAACTTTAGTGGAGTGTTGTCTCAATGGCAATCATACTACATCTCCTTATTTTTATATTTAAAGAACAAATTGATCATCTTCGATTTATGGCAATGACTAATATCAATTCAAGAGAGGGACTAAAGATACCAGAGGGACAAGTCAAACTCATAGATCGAAAACAAACTGACAACGCCATGGCCAAAAATAAAAAGACAAACAGACAAATAATAGTACAGATGACACAACATAGAAAACCAAAGACTAAGCAACACGAACCCCACCAAAAACTAGGGTGATCTCAGGTGCTCCGGAAGGGTAAGCAGATCCTGCTCCACATGTGGCACCCGTCGTGTTTCAGAACTTATCATGATACATATTTCCCTCCTTATCTGCGCCAATGTAATCCAAATAAATTTGTACAAATATAAACATACATCATTGGAAATATAATTCAGAAATTGGAACTAGTGTTCATCGGACTTGGACTTCTTTTAAACTGAGTTTTACTGTGCATATTGCTATGTGTTTCTTTATTCTACATTGGCTAGAGGTATAGGGGGAGGGTTGAGATCTCACAAAACATTTTAACCCCGCCGCATTTTTGCGCCTGTCCCAAGTTAGGAGCCTCTGGCCTTTGTTAGTCTTGTATGTTTTTTAATTTTAGTTCATTTATATGGTTTGAAGTTAAGTGTGACGTCCATTTTCACTGACCTAGTACACATTTTTATTTAGTGGCCAGCTGAGGTCTACCTCCGGGTGCGGGATTTTCTCGCTGCGTTGAAGACGCATTGGTGGCCTTCGGCTGTTGTCTGCTCGTTGGTCGGGTTGTTGTCCCTTTGACATATTCCCAATTTCCATTCTCAATTTTATTAGATGTTTCGGAAGACTAATCATTTTACTTTGTGGCAAGATAAACCATAACAAACAAGAAAGATAAAGGTTAAGCTTATCTAGAGTACAAGAACCATAAAGGAACAGAAGCAAAAAGTAATAAAAATACGAAATAGTCAAATGCACGCAACCCATTAAAAAAAAAAATACTACACTTGTTGTTTCATATAAAACATGGGCATGAAGATCCCTTATAAATCATAAAAGAACGAGTTTTCATTGTTTACACGAATATAGTTAAGATATTGTTGCAAACACAATTCAAGTTCACATATTGTAATTTATTCAAAAGATAGATGTCATATAAAACAACGTAGAAAATGGGGAATTGTAGACAAAAAGAATACCTTGTACTAGATAGATTTATATTAATAATTTTAGACTTTTGTAGCACTGGAGTATGTTTTAATTTTGAAATTCCAACCAACGATACACGTTTTACACCTGGATGTAAGAGTTTTATCAGAGCACCAAAGGCAACATCCGGTTCAAATCTTCCAGGTACAATAGTAAAATGAAAAAAGGATATTGTTATTCTGCTTTGTGTTGTTTTCCTTCCTTTTTTTTTTTTAACTTTTGGCTAAAATAGTGTCTGTTTTTTCTTAGACTTGTTGTATTATGTTGCCCATCCTCTTAGTATCTACTCCTTCCTTTTTAGTGGGGTTTCCTATTTGGTCCAGTCTGAAAGTCAAAATGAGAATCTAAGTTGGTTTCATGTGTTTCCTTATTGAAATAAGGTTTCAAAGATTATGTCATTTTCTTGATCATGATTTAACATTCACCCCCAGTTTTTGGTGGGGTTCGTGTTGCTTAGTCTTTAGTTTTCTATGTTGTGTCTTCTGTACTATTATTTGTCTGTTTGTCTTTTTATTTTTAGCCATGGCGTTGTCAGTTTATTTTCAATCTATGAGTTTGACCGTTCCTCTGGTATCTTTCGTACCTCTTTTAAGCGTTTTAAAAAAGGATAACTTGGACGTTGTAATTTTCTTTCCCTCTTTATTGCATATCCATACGATACGGCCTTTATTTATGCTTATATCAAGCGAATATTGTATTCCATGATGGGACATCAATATAAAATCTATGAAACAAATGAATCTGAAAATTGCGATAGTCACCTAGAAATATATAACCATACTGATCACAGACCAGTCAATAACAAAAAAACTTTCGTCGCCGTTAAACGTGATCAGGACCATCGTATGTGTATTTTAGTCTTCCTTTTGTGTCAATAATTATCAATTTATGACATATTTGAATACCAGCAGATGTACACACTCTATTATTGATTCATACGTCTCTGTTTATGTATTATGCCACATTCAACAAATGTGTAAACCCTAATATTTGTTTTGATTCTTCTCCAGTCATATAAAGTCTGACAACATATCCTTTGTTGGCCTCATTGTTAAATAAACAGACAAGGAAAGGATAAATACTTTCAAAACTTTCAAAACCACTATTTGATTTGAGTTTCATGATCTGATGCCCATTATCCACAGACACCATTAGTTCTCCCAGTTTAGAAACTGTCATGTTACCCAAGGAAATATCGAATGAAACACTTTGTCGTATCTCGCCTTCACGTGGTATTAATGTTATATCACGTCATATTGATCTCAGTCTTACCCAAGCATGATTTGAATCCACTGATGCAATGCAGCTGAACAGACAAACTGGCGATGTTATTGATGAAATAATTTTAGCCGCGACTATTAGTGATTTATATAACGATTTTAATTGTTTTTCATATTCAGACTGAACAACATCTACACACAAATGTTTCTTATGCAAAGTGGATTTACAAATAAAACAAATCGGGTTCTGACATTCTGTGCAAAATAGATAGTTAATATCGGTCTTGTGTTTGATACATGAAACAATAGAAACATTTAAGACAGGCAGTTTTATTTTTGATCACGATTTAATGTTATATTGGTCTTCATTCATTGTCACTGTAAGGCTATGATAAACTACTTCTGAAAATACAGTAATAAAACTCAGAAAATAAAGTGATAACGCAATTCAAGGAAGTCGAGATTCGATTATAACACCTAAACATTATCAAAAGCATTAGCAGAAATATCTAAAAAATAGTAAAATAGACCACATCTCCTACTACATCCGACTCAAAAAAAAAACGTACACAAAGAGACAAACAAAAACGAAAAACACATGGTCCAGATAGGCTGACCTTTGAAAGGTACAGACATTTGGGACAGCTGGGCATTGCACAAGATCGTTTCTTTTTGCACCGTCTATGACATTGCTGTATGATATCTTCCCTGAAGTACAGCAGTTGATTTCGAATTAAGTGTAGGTCGGTATAACTTCTGACGTTTTCTTACGTCATATAGAAATGTATTTTTTTTTATTGTTTGGAGAATTTGGTTATACTGGCAGATCTTTGATTGTTTCTGTTTAATTCTTTCGCAACTCTTTTAGACTCTTAAAGATTTAGAGATTCACATACTACAATGTATATATATATTCATCTGATTATGGGTATGTTGCCCTCTGGATATCGTTTGGTTATTTTTGTCGTTGGGCTGCCGTCGAATTTACGTATACCCCGCATCACAATTGATTCATATGTATAGTTGCAATCACACTTCCGTTATCGGTACGCCGATTTACTCATAAATTATAATATACAAATCAAAATGTTTTTTGCATTTGCTAACAATAAAAAATTCATATTCATATAAAAAACATTATAATGAAAAAATATCTTTCTGAAAAACGTGCTGTGTATCAATCTGTTATTTCTTGTTTTTCCTTTTATCCATATATTTTTGTATCTTTTTTATTTTCACCTTCCAATCAATTGACTTCTAACTCAGAAATACAATGCATTGAAATTCCTTCCTATTAGATGTATATATTTTTAAAATGAATAAACGTATATATAGGGTCTACACAATGAGATAAAAATAAGATTAGAAAAGATAATAAGAAATATTTATTTCTATAGATTCGGAATGTACAAAACAATAAAACACAAGCCCCATTGAGGTTTTGTTCAAATTTACAAATTCTTTAAATAACAATTTAAACAATAACGCGTACTCACAACGTATTCAAAGCAAATAGTATTAAGCAGCTAATTAAAAGTCAAGTTTGAGAATATTACAGTAATATCAACAACCACATTGAAATTAAAAAACGCTGGAAGAAAAAAGTAAATTAAAAAAATCATATACACAATCAATCCTACTAGGAAATGGTTTTATATTAAAATAAAATGATAACATAACAAGGACCCAGACTTTATATTACACTTGCTGGAGGCGTTATTCAATTTGCAACCATGATTGATTACTATCACTATTGAAGGCCAACATTTTAGTTTGTATTTGTAACCTTATTTCAGCATACAGAGAAAATCTGAATTTGATAACTTCATTTATTGATGCTGGATTTCTGTATGGTAGTTCGGATGAAGAAGTAGAAGCTTTACGTGAAAATGGCACATGTAAGTCTAGTTACATAGGGTTAATACATAAAGCCTACTTAACATGACATGTTATGATGCAAAAAAAAAAAAAATCAAATAGAAAGAAAGTTATATCGTTTTACTTTTTGTGAACAATTCTATCAATAGTATCATCAGCACTATTGTATTGACCTAAACACAAGGGAAAGATATCGTTAGACTGATTCTGTCCAACTTTCTGGTATCTTTGGTTTTTAATACCTTTCAACTGTGTCATTTGGCCGTCCACTAGTTTTGATTCGAGCACGACTATCGACGAGTGTTGTTGACGAAACGTTCTTATTACGTACCAAATTATAAGTTTGTTTTTATATTTTTTATATCGCGATCTTCAGTGATTTTCATTGTTGACATATTTGCTTTTTTTCATTTAGCCTTCCGACTTATTTGATTCGAGCGCAACTGAAGAGTCGTATGTAGACGAAACAGGCGCCCTGCGTATCAAATTATAAGCCTGGCATCTTTGGGTAGTTTTAAAAACCACTGAGTCGATGCAACTTCTGGTGGACGTTTCGTCCCCGATGATATCACAAGCCTTGTAATAATCACTTTTGTGTTGTCATGAAATACCATTGATTAATTCCTGTATATTTACTGTCTATACAATGTTAAATTACTCCACACACTATCTCCAGACATAGCTTATGATAGTTGTATTTAGCACGACTTTACGTAATGTTTGGTTTTAATACTTTTTAACTTTGACTTGGCCTACCAATTGTTCCTATTCCGGCGCCACTGATGGGTCTTTTTTTGTTTATAGCTCTTCATCTTTTTAATAAGCATTGGATTTTCAAATATATTGGCCTCGAGCAACACTGTAGAGACATTGATTGTCGAAATGCGCATCGTTTATGTTATTACAGACGAGTCCATTAACAAATGATAGTCGATGTCTGGAAGTCTCTTCAAATTTATTCGCAATTTGTCAAGACTCAAAACGTAATGAGCTTGATTGTTTAGACAGAATTTTGACCTATACATACAAGTGCCTTTTATGTGTAGAATGTGATAAAGGTTGCATAATCATTGACGTATTTTTATTTCTCCTTCAAACATCAAATTTTATAAAAGTTGCCAAACAGCAGGCAACAGAATGCTACACAAAAATCAGATTGAGCAACATTAACACCAATAAAAACACTTAGTCATACAAGTGAGAGGTTTAGCTAGCTATAAAACCAGGTTTAATCCACCATTTTCTACACAAGGAAATGCCTGTACCAAGTCAGGAATGTGACAGTTGTTTTCCATTCGTTTGATGTGTTTGAGCTTTTGATTTTGCCATTTGATAAGGGACTTTCCGATTTGAATTTTCCTTGGAGTTCGGTATGTTTGTTATTTTACTTTTTAGTAGTTCCTGCTCCACTAGGGATATCATCTTATATTTATCATTTATTATATGTGGATCATTATGCAAACGCGAATCTCGATCATACAAGACGTAGATGTTACTTGTGGTTTAAGGGAAATAGTACTATATATTTACACCCAATCAAGCATGAACATATGAAGTGTCATACATTTTTCTCGTTGGTATATAAAACCAAGTTAACAATTTGTAGCTAAAACCAATAAAAACATATTCAATTGATAATAAAACGTCCATTTCAGATCTAATGAAAACAGGAACAAACAATAACATACCATTGATGACTGGAGGTGGATGTGTTCAATTCCACGGGCAATGTCCCTTAGCAGGTATTTTATAAATGTACATTATCTACAAACGTTGCAGAGCAGGGATATATTAAAATGGTTAATTGAAATATGATACTAGTATTTGAAAAAAAATGAAAACAACACTTTATATATTTCATGCATCCTAAGCGCTTTACTTGATTTCCCTTCATCAGGAACGATCAAAGCCGAATATTTAAAAGTCTAAAGATGTATAAGAACCGAAACAGTTGAAGAGTTATATGACCAAAAAGGGTCTAAAATCATCTCCCAAAAACCATCTAAGTTGAAGCGGTATTTGATACTTTTGAGTATATCACATTGATATAAGATATGATATCGAGCAAACGAGAAGACATACAACCCAGCCTAGAAGCTTTGTGCAGTTAAAGTTTTTATCAAAACCGGATGTAATATAAGGTGCTTGAGAATTGTTAGCATAGTTTGACACGATGTCGAGTAACCAATTGGTAATAAACTCCTCATAGTTACATGTACCAGGATCAAGATTGTGTACGCCAAACGCGCGTTTCGTATTCAAAACCAGTTTCAAAAACCAAATAGAGTACGAAGTTGAAGAGCATTCATGACCCAAAATTCCAAAAAGAGAAGAGAAGACTAAAGGGATATTCAAACTCATAAAACGAAAACAAACTGATAATACCATGGCACACTAAGTAAAACAACCAAAAGACAAACAACCTTATGAAAAACAAAACATGGAAAACTAAAGACTGAACAACATAAACCTTAACAAAAACCGAAGTTGATCGCAGGTGCTCCGAAGGGTAAGCAGATCCTGCTCGAAATATCAAACCCGTCTTGTTAGTCCTATAAAATATGATGATAAGTTATATCAAGTGATTAGGCATCACGCAATAGCGGAATAGTAATTGACTTTAATCTTACACTAAGACATGAATGTGTCGGCAATTAAGATTCGTTACGAGACGAAAAGGTAAAAGTACACATTCAAGCATTCAAGGTTTTATTTAAAGTCGATATTCAATAAACTACATGAACACAAGCTCTAGTGAGCTTTTCAAATCGACTGAATCACAGAATATATACACACATACAAAAGTTATGAAAACAACACAAATTTAAACAAACAGTGCATGGTTGACATATAAAAGTTAAAATCGTAGTATGCAAAATAAAGTATATCTTAAAACATAGTGAAGGATTTAAATGGTTATAGTGACACAAGCACTTTATTAAAAATTAACGTTAAAACTTACGTGAGAGTGAACATATGTTGAAAGGAATTCTAGTAACTGAGAAGTAAATTATAACAATATCAAATGAAAGGATTTTCATCAACCGATTCATATATCTGACAATCCTTTAAACACGTTTTGTTGTACTGTGGATTCATTTATTTTCGTGGGTACCAATTTTCGTGGATTAAGGAAAACTGACATGTTCGTTGATATTTAATTTCGTGGTTTTGACGAAGTCTGCATACACGCCTATGGAAAATTTGTTATTCGTTGAACATTTAATTTCGTGGTTCACCTGTACCCACGAAATCCACGAAAATTGGTATCCAACGAATAATAATGAATCCACAGTAGTTCAGTTTTTTTGTTGTTTTCCTCTTATAGTTGATGTGTTTCCCTTGGTTTTAGTTTGTTACCCGGATTTGTTTTTGCTTAATCGAATTATGACTATTGAACAGCGGTATACTACTGTTGCATTTATTTGGAGCATTACCATTGTGCTTTTGTTCAAACAGTTGTTTTGTTTTTTTGTTTTTGTTTTTGAGGCAAATTCAAGAAAAAGAGGTGGGTGATACCAAAAGAACATAATAATTCATAAGTAAAAGAAAAATTGAAAAAAACCATGGCAAAAGCAAAACACAGCGGAAGACAAACAAGAGTCCACTCAATTCTAAGTAGAAAACAAAAGTAAGAGCAACACCACCAAAAATCCGGAAGTGAACTCAGGTGGTCCATATATGACACCCGTCACCTTTTCCATTGTTAGTACGAATTCCTTGATAATTGTCATTAGATAACTTGAATATAGTTTTTTTTCTGCTGTTGATCATATGAAATGTTTCTTATATGACATTACAGGATCTTTTAATTAGTGCTTTTACGACGTCACGAAACAAACATATTCTAGTCACAATTTCCTTTGACGCGTTTTCCACCCAAATTAACTAGGTCAACCTGGGCATCACCTATATAAAATCGAAATTGGAATATCGTGTGTTGTAACTGAAATATTCTAATCTGATTTCCATAGGTGAAAATAGAATTGCAGAAGCTCCTAATCTAGGACTTAACCATTTGGTATGGATCAGGGAACACAATCGTATAGCCACCATCCTAGATAACATTACAGATGTTAATGCTACAATATCATACATAGAAAATGGAAAGTTCTACCAAGAGACAAGAGAAGACATCATTTTCCAAGAAACAAGGAGAATCATAATAGCCATGGTTCAACATATAACATACAATCATTATTTACCTACAGTACTTGATCAGAGCACAATGTCAGCTTATAATCTCTACTCCAAAACAACAGGATATGATCAAACATACGACTCTGAAACGGATGTTTCTATAAGAAACGCATTCGGAACAGCCGCGTTTCGTTTTGGACATTCGCAAATTATGAATAACTTGTCATTCTTACATGATGATTACGTCACATTGAACGTTAACTCACTTAAAGACAATTTTAAAAATCCACAAATTTATCTTACAAATAATGGAGAAAATATCCAAAACTTTGCAAGATGGTTGACCTTTCATCCTGCTGATCTGATCGACCCGTGAGTATTGACACATAGAGTTATTGATAAAGGTATACACGTAAAGATGTATTACTTACTACGTTTTATCAAATGCCTGTACCAAGTAAGGAGTACGACAGTTGTTTTTCACTCGTTCCGTTGATTGACAACGTTACATTTTTGTCAGTTTTTATGGACTTCCCTTTTTTGAATGTACCTTGAAGTTCGGTATTTTTGTTATACTTTATTATTATAATGATATTAAGCCGTTGTACCTTGTGTTTTATTGGCTAAAAATCTGCTGTTTGATACAGAACTAAAATATTTCTATTCTCTTTCATTTGTATTTTTGATCTTTACTTATTGTTTTTTTTTTTTGGCAAATTAACACCGGAGTATATTTTTTCAATATTTGAATAATTAAATTGCATTATAGAATTCGCATTTTATTCTCATTTGTATGTATGTTGTTATTATAAATAGTGACATATAATAAAAGAAATCAGAAAAAAATATAACAATAGTTTTTAGATCACCAGAATGACATTTTCAACTGAATGACTACTTTAATTAGGATCCTAAAAGCATAGTTTCAGAATATATAATCTGTTTTTTTTTTCCTTTTCTCTTTCAGCTTCCTCGTAGACAGTGCACGTGATGATTTGTTTGTGCAACCCGATCCACCCGGAGATGATCTGTTTGCAATCAATATACAAAGAGGCAGAGATCAGGGAACACCTCCATTTAATAAGTGGAGGGAGTTTTGTGGACTTAGTAATATGACCTTCAATGACTTTGGAAATTCAAGTTCAAAACTAGCAAGTGTATATGCGTACGTACTTATATTCTATCCAAGATAGTTACATAATTTACAATGTATAATAGAAAAGCAAAGGATACGGGGTATCCATTCATGACACAAAATCAGTACATGCACAGCAAAACACATACACAAAACAAAGAAACAGCGCTTTAATTGTTATTCTTCATCTAAAAGTCACAGTGAGGCCTTCAACACACAAGAAAATAAGAAAAAACTATCACCTCACTCCAATTTATTATAAATACTGAAAACTAAACCAAATTAAAAAAATAAAATCCATCAAATCACGATTCTTCTAATTGTAGATCACCGGACGACATCGATTTATTTATTGGCGCATTATTAGAGACGGGAACAGACGGAAGCGTTGGTCCAACATTCGCATGTATGATTGCCAAACAGTTCCAACTAATGAAGAAAGGGGACAGGTTCTGGTATGAAAGACCTGATTCAAATTTCGCATTTACAGAAGGTAATACAACAAAGAATTATTTCAGTTAGTTTGTAGAGATTACCAGAATAGAATTTGATTTCGAAATTAAAACAAAATTATTACAATTTGTTTAATATTTTTGGCATTGTTTCCACATTGACTAAATATTTCTAGTATATGTCAGAACAGTTAATATTATTTCTAAATAAATGAAAGAATACTGACCCTCATGTACTGTTGATGGTTGAATAGCATTATCATTTTTATATGGGGACACCATGAACATTCAGAACAATGCATACCAGAACACAAAGCTAGATCATTATCACGGTGCGTGAATTTAAGGAAACGTTGGAATCGCTAAACTATTTTTTCTATGCAAAATCAACCCAAAACATCAAAAGTGGATTCAGGCATATAGTTACTAACACAATAAATATCTTTCTCTAATTCTTTGACAATTTATACCTTTCTGCACTCATTGTATAAAAAATTTTAATCAACGTGTGGTCGTCGGTGATCTCAGAAGATGATTGGATGAATTTAAGGGTCATAACCTTTATCAGCTCAAAATATGCTAACAGGTGTTAATGAAATTGACAACTTTGTGAAATGTGGAAGGCACTCGAAGGGGGTTTTGGTTTAACAAAAAATGAAAATGTATTTTTTAATCATTAGAGAAACAGATTCTTACATGGTTACTCGTGAATTATCGAATTTATCCAATCTCGATAGTTAAATTATAAATTTTAAAGTCCTCGCCAAGGCTCAGACTTTAAAATTGATAATTTAACTATCTCGATTGGATAATTCCGATAATCCACTGGTATCAATGTAAGAATCTATATATATATTTCAGATGCCCCTTCATATATTCTATGTTATTGAAGGTTTCTCAATTATATATTTCAGATGCCCCTTCATATACTCTATGTTATTGAAGGTTTCTCAATTATATATTTCAGATGCCCCCTATGTTATTGAAGGTTTCTCAATTATATATTTCAGATGCCCCTTCATATACTCTATGTTATTGAAGGTTTCTCAATTATATATTACAGATGCCCCTTCATATACTCTATGTTATTGAAGGTTTCTCAATTATATATTTCAGATGCCCCTTCATATACTCTATGTTATTCAAGGTTTCTCAATTATATATTTCAGATGCCCCTTCATATACTCTATGTTATTGAAGGTTTCTCAATTATATATTTCAGATGCCCCTTCATATACTCTATGTTATTGAAGGTTTCTCAATTATATATTTCAGATGCCCCTTCATATACTCTATGTTATTGAAGGTTTCTCAATTATATATTTCAGATGCCCCTTCATATACTCTATGTTATTGAAGGTTTTCAATTATATATTACATATGCCCCTTCATATACTCTATGTTATTGAAGGTTTCAATTATATATTACAGATGCCCCTTCATATACTCTATGTTATTGAAGGTTTCTCAATTATATATTACAGATGCCCCTTCATATACTCTATGTTATTGAAGGTTTCTCAATTATATATTTCAGATGCCCCTTCATATACTCTATGTTATTGAAGGTTTCTCAATTATATATTTCAGATGCCCCTTCATATACTCTATGTTATTGAAGGTTTCTCAATTATATATTTCAGATGCCCCTTCAAATACTCTATGTTATTGAAGGTTTCTCAATTATATATTTCAGATGCCCCTTCATATACTCTATGTTATTGAAGGTTTCTCAATTATATATTACAGATGCCCCTTCATATACTCTATGTTATTGAAGGTTTCTCAATTATATATTACAGATGCCCCTTCATATACTCTATGTTATTGAAGGTTTCTCAATTATATATTACAGATGCCCCTTCATATACTCTATGTTATTGAAGGTTTCTCAATTATATATTTCAGATGCCCCTTCATATACTCTATGTTATTCAAGGTTTCTCAATTATATATTTCAGATGCCCCTTCATATACTCTATGTTATTCAAGGTTTCTCAATTATATATTTCAGATGCCCCTTCATATACTCTATGTTATTCAAGGTTTCTCAATTATATATTTCAGATGCCCCTTCATATACTCTATGTTATTCAAGGTTTCTCAATTATATATTTCAGATGCCCCTTCATATACTCTATGTTATTCAAGGTTTCTCAATTATATATTTCAGATGCCCCTTCATATACTCTATGCTATTCAAGGTTTCTCAATTATATATTTCAGATGCCCCTTCATATACTCTATGCTATTCAAGGTTTCTCAATTATATATTTCAGATGCCCTTCATATACTCTATGCTATTCAAGGTTTCTCAATTATATATTTCAGATGCCCCTTCATATACTCTATGCTATTCAAGGTTTCTCAATTATATATTTCAGATGCCCCTTCATATACTCTATGTTATTCAAGGTTTCTCAATTATATATTTCAGATGCCCCTTCATATACTCTATGTTATCCAAGGTTTTTCAATTATATATTTCAGATGCCCCTTCATATACTCTATGTTATTGAATGTTTCTCAATTATATATTTCAGATGCCCCTTCATATACTCTATGTTATTGTCAAGGTTTCTCAATTATATATTTCAGATGCCCCTTCATATACTCTATGTTATTGAAGGTTTCTCAATTATATATTTCAGATGCCCCTTCATATACTCTATGTTATTGTCAAGGTTTCTCAATTATATATTTCAGATGCCCCTTCATATACTCTATGTTATTCAAGGTTTCTCAATTATATATTTCAGATGCCCCTTCATATACTCTATGTTATTGAAGGTTTCTCAATTATATTTTTTAGCTCAAGTAAATTCAATCAAAAGAAGTGCAAGTCTTTCAAAAGTATTTTGTGAAACTATTGGTCTTCAAAAAATACATGGCGATGTATTCCGAAATCCATCAGACATAAGGTAAGATGAAAAGAACGTCGTAGTAAAAGTGATAGTTTGAATAACATTATTAAAATATGCCCTTGATGCTTGATTTTTGCATAATGGTGAAAAATGGGATAAAAAGCCAATCACATTTTGAACACATACGCTGCTGGAATGTTGCTACATAAAAATTAAAAGTTCACAATTGGGTAGCTGAAATCATCTATTTTGTAGTAAAAACTCAACCGAAATTCATTGTCAATTTCTTGATGTAAGTCAAGACTATAACGAATTTGTTGATTTACACGATCTTCCTCAAAATATAAAAGTTGTTGTTCAGTCGTTCTATTGGTATATATAGACAAGAGTTTGGCTTTGTCAGGTTTTATGGGCTTCATTTTTAGGATTTATTTTTGGAGTTATATTTGGTTATATTTGTTATATTTGGTACTTTTTCCTTCTATCAACTTACGGATTGTGTCCTATTTCTTATCACGGAATTTGTTCTGTGTATGTAATTGCGCATGGCTGATGATTGATGCATAGTAGGAGACGCTTATCGTGTGGACGCGGCCGCTCATCATCATGTATTCCGTTTGCACTTTTTGGATATATTCCAAATGGACCTACGAGTATGTAACATCGATATTGTTTTCTCTTTATTACCATTTTTTTATGTGTTCAATTGATGGTCGTAGTTATAATACGGTCAAAAAAGGCAAATATCACTTGATAAACTTTATGCCTCCGAAGCACATTCCTTGATTCACCTATATCTGGAACACTCAAAGTCAAATATTTGAAATATAATGATTTATCAGATCCGAAATACGTGAAAAGCTTTATCAAAATTTTTTTCTAAAAATAATAGCCAAATCCACCTAAGGTCAACTTTGCCGAAGGGAGTTTGGACCTTGTATCTTGATAATTTCTAAATTTCTAAATTGACAATTTATGAAATGTATATTGTAAATCATGTTAGTACTAACGCATCTGAATTTTAATCTTCTACTATATGGTTGACTTTACAATATGACAAAAGAACTAATTATTATTTCAGCTCGTTAGTAAACTGCACAAATCTACCTGATATTGACTTCTCTCTTTGGAAGGTGAGTTTCAACATTTATTTAACCATGTACAAAGTAAAACAACAAAAATACCGAACTCCAAGGAAAATTCAAATGGCAAAATCAAAAGCTCAAACACATCAAACGAATGGAAAACAGCTTTAATATTCCTGACTAGGTACAGGCATTTCCTTATGTAGAAAATGGTGGATTAAACCTGGTTTTATAGCTAGCTAAACCTCTCACTTGCATGACAGTCGCTTAAAATTCCATTATATTGACATCAATATGTGAACAAAACAAACCGACATAATAAGTACAAATGACAAAAATAGGGGTACAGCAGTCAACATTGTGCTATAATCTTAATCACATAAACACAAACAAATATGTCAAAAAAGAAAAACAAAATGGCATATAGACATAACACATATTAAGCAAACTGATATTAATATTTATAATTTGAAATTGCCAAGCCAGAGTTTAATGTCTGATGAAAGAAAACACTTATTTCATATAAAAAATATTTCATAAAAAGATAATGCTGTTGTAATTGCTAAATCATAGAAGTATACCATGATTTGTTATATCATTCAGTGTTTAGTTCCTTCTGATGAAAATACAGATTCTGTGGGAAGTTTAGCTATCTATATCAAACCAGGTTTAACCCATCATTTTCTTCGTAAAATGCCTGTACCAAATCTGAAATGTTGTCAGTTTATTTTTATGGACTTCCCCTATTTTTATTTTGCCTTGGAGTTCGATATTTTTGTTATATTTATTTCCAGCCTTACAAGGATCTGAAAACACTCCATTATATTTTCCCTTTTGGCAAGTATTACTTCAGCCAATAAAATGTCAGCCTCAAAATTTTGAAAATGTTTCATAACGACAAAAGCCTGAGATCCCGGAGAGTCTTTAAAAGTAAAATAGAGCGTTGCCAGATCTTTACTATCTAAGCATATGTATTTCAATCAGCTTGTTTCTAGTTTTGCAGAGTGGTTTTTTTTCTTCATTGTAGATGGATGTCTCAGGTTCAACAGAACGAATTGGACATGCAATAGGAATCTCTCTAGCCGCTATATTCCAGTATATACTAGTCAGCCTTTAGGCATGTTATTAATTTTGTGATATATATACGACAAATGCAGCGGGACGTTATAACTCATTTTAATCTATCCATTTAAAACAACATTCATGACTCGGAATGCTAAAGTCATTATAGGTGAAAGTATTATGATAGTTTTATTTGATTATGTGTTCCTTAACCAAAATATTAAGAATAGTAACAGATGTTTTATTGATAAAAGTGAACTAATATTGGAAAATAATCAATCTTTTAGTCTAAGAACTATTTATAAGATTAGATAAATGAAAACCAAACCAACTAACGATTGCTATGAAATTAGAGAAAAAGTTGTTTTTGTATAATTCTATTTTGTATATTCATTCATGTTATTTATATATTTTCTGTGATATTTTATATACATGACCATGTGAAGATCACATCCGTCCAACTAATAGGTATAAGATATTTACATTTTTAATCTATTCAATCTTTACCATGTGATATTAATAGACTTCTCTATGGTTTAATCTATGATCCGTCCTTTTCCTATTATCTGTGATATTCGAAGGCCTTTTCATATTTGTTTGATTATTTATATTACTTGTCCTTCGTCTGTCACAATTTTGTATCTGATATATTATAGTAATTTTTAGTTCTAACAATGAATATCAATGACTTTTTAGTAGCGATTCATTATTTACAAGATAATTTATTTCCAAAAGAAAAGTTTTTGAGAAAACTTCAATCAGTGATCTTGTTAGTGTTCTTTGAAATATGTTTTATATTTTTATGTATCAAAGTCTTAATTAGTAAAAACTATGTGAAAAGATACAATTACAAAATTTTCACATAGTAAAGTGAGACAATCTTTAGAACTATGAACGTGCCATATAATAAGTGATATTCAGACATACTGTAAAGATTGGTAGCTTTTTTACATAATAGAATTATTTGAGTTTTAAATAGTGATGCGTTTTTACCCCTACAATTGTTGGGGTCATCATGTTTGTCAAGTTTATTCGTACGCACGTTCGTAAGTCCGTCCAGTGCCGGGTTGAAGGTTTTTGTGTGTTAAGGAAGTAAACCTTGAAGGTGTAGTAACATCAACTTTAAACAGACGGTATTTTAGAAACTGAGGTTTCATCTCCCTCAGGCAAAGTTGACCTTAGATGGATTTGGCTATTTGTTTAGTTACTTTTTGGTTATATAGCTCTTCAACTGTTTAGGTTCTTATACATCCTTGGCTTTCAAATATTCGGCTTTGAGCGTTCCTGATGAAGGTAAATCCAGAAAGCGCTTCGGACGCATGAAAATTTATAACTTGTTGTTTTCATTTTTTAAGTTGAACTTTGTTAACTATAGGTCTAACTGGGGTAAATAACAGGAAAATGTATAAGGGCGAGCAGTGCTTGGTTTAATATGCACACACAATTTTGTCTTTATTATGTTAACGATGATTTTCCAATAAAGCCATGAAATGAAAAGAAAGTATAAATCCGAAAATATTCCGAATCAATACATATATTTAATCTGTATCTACCACATGATAATCGACGTTAATTGAGAAATATCTCCATCATATTTATAATACATTTATTTCATGTGTAAAATATATAGATTTATTTTTCCAAAAAGGTCTATAAGATTATTTTTTATGTACAGTTTCAGTTATATGAAATAAATGCAGGTATTTATCAATTAGTATGGAATGCAAATCATGTTTATAGTATTTTTGTTAGATCATGACAAACACAGTTGAAATAGGCAGTATATTACGTTTGATCTATTACACATAAAGATGCATTTGATGTTAACTTTTCTTCTTGTTGTTTACGCTGTAAAGACAAACATACATTTGCACTCGTACCACATCTTCGCATTTATATGTATGTTAATTTTTATTTATAATGAATATTTTCATTAATATTGATTTTGACTCAGACACGTGTTTGTTTGCCATTTTGTACCATCCATTGTAAGAGTGAGCGAAACTTTTCCATGTCCCTTGTGTCCACCTTTTGGAGCTGGTATGGTTTGTTTTCCTTAAAAAACAAAGACTTAAACAACAACTTGGTAAAATAAGGAAGTCTTTTGTGTGTTTTCAATGTTATAAAAATGCATTTGGAAATTGAGTGGGCTTCAAATCATATGCAGGTGGAAAATAGCCTGCACTATATTGTACAAGAAAAATTCTTCAATTCAGTCTTGAGTTTTCTTTTTTTTTATTCATAGCAGTTTTTCAAGTTTATACAATGTATCATTTAATACTGGTACACCTCAATGATCATTTACCAATATTTTCAAATTAATACTTTGACATCACATAAACTTATTTCACTATGCAGTCATTTCGGGGCCTTTTATAGCTGACTATGCGGTATGGGCTTTGCTCATTGTTGAAGGCCGTACTGTGACGTGACCTATAGTTGTTAATTTCTGTGTCATTTGGTCCCTTGTGGATAGATGTCTCATTGGCAATCATACCACATCTTCTTATTTTTTTATTGACTATGGCAAGTAACACGTTTGAGTTTTTTTTTCTTCAAGTCCTTTTTGGTATGTAAGGCTTAACAATTTTGAGAATGAAGATAGGGAAGCAAATCGAAAAAAAAAGAGAAAAAAAAAAAAACAAAGTTTACATTGCCCTCTACAGACATGCATCAACTTTATCATGTACACTCATGACAGACCCTTTGGACATCCAAGAATAAAAATTGTTTGGGAGCTTGAAATATGGCGATAATAAAGCGGCAACATCGTCTTATTGATTTTGAAATCAACAACAAAAATAAATGCATGCCTTGCTCTTATTGTTTTACTTATTAATAGATACACTTTTCTCACTTTGATAATTTATATTATTGTAATAAATATGTCTACACAATGTTATATCTTTTATATGAAATTTATAGTCATATACATATCTACACATTGTTATATTTTCGTATATTTTTATTAAATTAAAACATTTCATCAATATGTGTCATTTTTATGTACCGATTTCTCTTTATTTCTCGACCTGTAGATAATTATTATGTCGAAAACTTGGGCCATGTTTATTTTCCTCCTTTTTAGTTCTTGAAATTTACTTTTGATCCTTTTTTGTTATTTTATCAGCTCTTCAACGATTGTTAGTTTTTTTTATTTTCAAATATTTTGGCCACGAGCGTCACTGAAGAGATATGGTAACAAGAGCGCAATTATTTGTTTACATTTTACCGGCAAGTTTTTTAGCCCAAGATGGTACTCAGAATAGAATCCTATACGGCTTCTGATTGGATAATACAGGATTGGAATTACATTTAATCGAAAGCTTATCCAATTAGGTTTAAAAAATGCAGAAAATCATATTCACATTTTACAATTTAAAGTATAGAAAATATCTTCCATTTCTGCACGTCGGAGCCATTAAAAATATGCCTTTTTCATTAAGCGAAAAAAATAGACGATCTTTTTCAACTGCATTTTAAGTCAATTTTTGCCGCATGACCATATATATTTTTTTGGTTGTAATGCAACACTGGCATTTCTAGTAACAGGAACTGCTGACCGTTTTTCCCTATTTTGTGTAGTCTTCGAGGGAAAAAATACGAAACACCAGTGGTACCCTATGGAAAATGCATTACGAATAATTGCGCTCTTGTAACCTATAGAAAAATTACATTTTTTTTAATAAGGCTTTGAAAAATGTTAAAAATAGTCATTTTGCTTAGAAAAAAATGTGAAACAGTAATTAATGGGGTCAAATGGACTTTTCATTAACGTGCATTCAAGCTATAGTCTGTTTCCTATTTGTATTGATTTCCATATCTAAATCTAAGGTGGGCTCGAATGTCGAAAGTATGAAGAGAATAGAACGTTTTTGTGATATCTACTGTTTTTATTGGGAAAAGCATGTATATATCTTGAATTTGGAGATACTTTTTGGTTTTTAACCATAATGATCGTGACTCAGTTGCTATTCTAGCAAAAAGCTAATTTGGTGAAAATTGGACAAAAGGGTCCCTAAGCAAACACCAACGATTTAGTTACATTGCAAAGTAGAAATATTAATCTTAGCATTGAATATTGTAGTTCAAGAATAGTTTTTTCTTGCCAAAGTAGTTATATTATCATATTTTTGAAATATGGAAAAACTATAGTCTGTTTCAAAAACGTGTTTTTTTCAAGAAATGATTTCATTTAAAGCCATTCTTCAAAATTCGATGTAGCTTTTCCACATCAGAACGGTTTTGTCGGCAATATGATCAGTGCTGGATGACCTTTGAAAAATTAGGCCAGTAAATAAACATTATCTTCATGTCTTTTTGAACAGTACCGTATTTGGTGAAAAAATCAGTTCCAATTTTTGGCCTGATCGGTGGGTAAAAACTAATTCTCCAAATTCAGAGAGTGATCAGATAATGTTTTGAAGATGTGATATTATCTAGATAGACGCTAGCGCTTCATTTGGCCTGGGCGCTTAATTTTCGGAATTTTTTTTCATTACCGTATAGGTAACAAGAGCGCAATTATTTGTTTAAATTTTACCGGCAAGTTTTTTAGCCCAAGATGGTACTCAGAATAGAATCCTATACGGCTTCTGATTGGATGATACAGGATTGGAATTACATTTAATCGAAAGCTTATCCAATTAGGTTTAAAAAATGCAGAAAATCATATTCACATTTTACAATTCAAAGTATAGAAAATATCTTCTATTTCTGCACGTCGGAGCCATTAAAAATATGCCTTTTTCATTAAGCGAAAAAAATAGACGATCTTTTTCAACTGCATTTTAAGTCAATTTTTGCCGCATGACCATATATATTTTTTTGGTTGTAATGCAACACTGGCATTTCTAGTAACAGGAACTGCTGACCGTTTTTCCCTATTTTGTGTAGTCTTCGAGGGAAAAAATACGAAACACCAGTGGTACCCTATGGAAAATGCATTACGAATAATTGCGCTCTTGTAACCTATAGAAAAATTACATTTTTTTTAATAAGGCTTTGAAAAATGTTAAAAATAGTCATTTTGCTTAGAAAAAAATGTGAAACAGTAATTAATGGGGTCAAATGGACTTTTCATTAACGTGCATTCAAGCTATAGTCTGTTTCCTATTTGTATTGATTTCCATATCTAAATCTAGGGTGGGCTCGAATGTCGAAAGTATGAAGAGAATAGAACGTTTTTGTGATATCTACTGTTTTTATTGGGAAAAGCATGTATATATATCTTGAATTTGGAGATACTTTTTGGTTTTTAACCATAATGATCGTGACTCAGTTGCTATTCTAGCAAAAAGCTAATTTGGTGAAAATTGGACAAAAGGGTCCCTAAGCAAACACCAACGATTTAGTTACATTGCAAAGTAGAAAAATTAATCTTGGCATTGAATATTGTAGTTCAAGAATAGTTTTTCTTGCCAAAGTAGTAATATTATCATATTTTTAAAATTTGGAAAAACTATAGTCTGTTTCAAAAACTTGTTTTTTTCAAGAAATGATTTCATTTAAAGCCATTCTTCAAAATTCGATGTAGCTTTTCCATATCAGAACGGTTTTGTCGGCAATATGATCAGTGCTGGATGACCTTTGAAAAATTAGGCCAGTAAATAAACATTATTTTTATGTCTTTTTGAACAGTACCGTATTTGGTGAAAAAATCAGTTCCAATTTTTGGCCTGATCGGTGGGTAAAAACTAATTTTCCAAATTCAGAGAGTGATCAGATAATGTTTTGAAGATGTGATATTATCTAGATAGACGCTAGCGCTTCATTTGGCTTGGGCGCCTAATTTTCTGAATTTTTTTTCATTACCGTATAGGTAACAAGAGCGCAATTATTTGTTTACATTTTACCGGCAAGTTTTTTAGCCCAAGATGGTACTCAGAATAGAATCCTATACGGCTTCTGATTGGATAATACAGGATTGGAATTACATTTAATCGAAAGCTTATCCAATTAGGTTTAAAAAATGCAGAAAATCATATTCACATTTTACAATTTAAAGTATAGAAAATATCTTCCATTTCTGCACGTCGGAGCCATTAAAAATATGCCTTTTTCATTAAGCGAAAAAAATAGACGATCTTTTTCAACTGCATTTTAAGTCAATTTTTGCCGCATGACCATATATATTTTTTTGGTTGTAATGCAACACTGGCATTTCTAGTAACAGGAACTGCTGACCGTTTTTCCCTATTTTGTGTAGTCTTCGAGGGAAAAAATACGAAACACCAGTGGTACCCTATGGAAAATGCATTACGAATAATTGCGCTCTTGTAACCTATAGAAAAATTACATTTTTTTTAATAAGGCTTTGAAAAATGTTAAAAATAGTCATTTTGCTTAGAAAAAAATGTGAAACAGTAATTAATGGGGTCAAATGGACTTTTCATTAACGTGCATTCAAGCTATAGTCTGTTTCCTATTTGTATTGATTTCCATATCTAAATCTAGGGTGGGCTCGAATGTCGAAAGTATGAAGAGAATAGAACGTTTTTGTGATATCTACTGTTTTTATTGGGAAAAGCATGTATATATCTTGAATTTGGAGATACTTTTTGGTTTTTAACCATAATGATCGTGACTCAGTTGCTATTCTAGCAAAAAGCTAATTTGGTGAAAATTGGACAAAAGGGTCCCTAAGCAAACACCAACGATTTAGTTACATTGCAATGTAGAAAAATTAATCTTGGCATTGAATATTGTAGTTCAAGAATAGTTTTTCTTGCCAAAGTAGTAATATTATCATATTTTTAAAATTTGGAAAAACTATAGTCTGTTTCAAAAACGTGTTTTTTTCAAGAAATGATTTCATTTAAAGCCATTCTTCAAAATTCGATGTAGCTTTTCCATATCAGAACGGTTTTGTCGGCAATATGATCAGTGCTGGATGACCTTTGAAAAATTAGGCCAGTAAATAAACATTTTTTTTTGTCTTTTTGAACAGTACCGTATTTGGTGAAAAAATCAGTTCCAATTTTTGGCCTGATCGGTGGGTAAAAACTAATTTTCCAAATTCAGAGAGTGATCAGATAATGTTTTGAAGATGTGATATTATCTAGATAGACGCTAGCGCTTCATTTGGCCTGGGCGCCTAATTTTCTGAATTTTTTTTCATTACCGTATAGGTAACAAGAGCGCAATTATTTGTTTACATTTTACCGGCAAGTTTTTTAGCCCAAGATGGTACTCAGAATAGAATCCTATACGGCTTCTGATTGGATGATACAGGATTGGAATTACATTTAATCGAAAGCTTATCCAATTAGGTTTAAAAAATGCAGAAAATCATATTCACATTTTACAATTCAAAGTATAGAAAATATCTTCTATTTCTGCACGTCGGAGCCATTAAAAATATGCCTTTTTTCATTAAGCGAAAAAGATAGACGATCTTTTTCAACTGCATTTTAAGTCAATTTTTGCCGCATGACCATATATATTTTTTTGGTTGTAATGCAACACTGGCATTTCTAGTAACAGGAACTGCTGACCGTTTTTCCCTATTTTGTGTAGTCTTCGAGGGAAAAAATACGAAACACCAGTGGTACCCTATGGAAAATGCATTACGAATAATTGCGCTCTTGTAACCTATAGAAAAATTACATTTTTTTTAATAAGGCTTTGAAAAATGTTAAAAATAGTCATTTTGCTTAGAAAAAATGTGAAACAGTAATTAATGGGGTCAAATGGACTTTTCATTAACGTGCATTCAAGCTATAGTCTGATTCCTATTTGTATTGATTTCCATATCTAAATCTAGGGTGGGCTCGAATGTCGAAAGTATGAAGAGAATAGAACGTTTTTGTGATATCTACTGTTTTTATTGGGAAAAGCATGTATATATATCTTGAATTTGGAGATACTTTTTGGTTTTTAACCATAATGATCGTGACTCAGTTGCTATTCTAGCAAAAAGCTAATTTGGTGAAAATTGGACAAAAGGGTCCCTAAGCAAACACCAACGATTTAGTTACATTGCAAAGTA